GGCATCATTTAAGGTAAGTCCTTCACGCAGCGTGGGGGGGGGGGGGGGGGGGGGGGGGTAGGGTTAAGGAAAATTTTCCTGGACTCCTTTAAACAGATGAAAGTGTTTAGGACTTGAAAGGGGCTAATGTAAGCCCCATGAGCCATTCAAAGCACATTGCACTGTTAAAAACCTTCTCTATTAACACCATTTTCCCTTCCCTACTGACCACAAAAAAAAGTTCAATTTTGCATAAATCTCCCTATTTTTGTTAGAGACTCATTTCAATAAAAACAAAAACCCTCCATTTGACTCCATAGCAGGAATACCGGGTATTGTTTGTATTATTATTATAGCTGCAGATTTAACAATATTAAAAATGACTTTTGAAATGATATTAACATGTTAGAGGTTATCTGAGATTTTACTGATTGGGTTTACATCTCTACCTTAAAATGAACAAAACACAAAAAAGTACAAAGTGACAAGCAGTACAATTGCACTTTAAGATATGAAATGCTTCTGCACCAAAGGAAAAGCTTCAAAGACTTTAACACATTGCTATAGGAGCAAAAATTGCCATTCACAAATAGCAGCAAATAAAATACTGATGCTGATTTACTAAATATTCACTTAAAATGTATCTAAACCCAAGAAAAAAAATATAATAATAATAACAATAATAATAATAATATAATTTAGCTTACCAGTCCTTAGACATGGTGGCTGCATTCTTGTTATAAACTCAGGGGTTCTATTCACTAAGCTGCCGTAAGCAGCCGAGTGAATGACCGACCTGAAGTGAAGTGAGCCGAACACTGTTCGGCTATTCACTTCAGGCTGCAGAAGACCCTCAGAGGGACCGAGCAGAAGAGAAAAATAGTTTGAAAAGTTTAAAAAAGTAAATAGAAAACGATTGTGCGGAGCTAGCAGTGACAGCTAGCTCCGCCCAATAGTTTTCTATTGTCCGGCGGCTCTGCTGCCGTCAAAAAAAATAAAAGAAAAAAAAACTCTCCGGGCGCTACTCAGCCGAGCCGAGGCATATGCGTTCGGCTCGTCTGAGCCGCTCGGCCACGTTCGGGAGCTTACGGGCTATAGTGAATAGCCCGCACAGCACCCTTTCGGTTCTACTGAACCGAAGGGGTCCTGGGGCCAAAGCTAGCCAAAGGATCTGCCGAAGCTATGGCTAGATCCTTCCGCAGCTGTGTGAATAGACCCCTAAATGTATGTATACTTACATTGTTCCAGCCTATTACAATGTAAGTATATATCCCCCGGGAGGGCCATGGGGGTAATCTAATACACCATAGTAGCCACAGCTACTACACTATGCAGTATTTCTGGGCCTTCCAAGAACAGCCGCTGTGCTGAGTGACTTCTTCTGTGCTTGTTAAAATACAAAAGGTTGCTCACTCAGCATAGCTGCCATTCAGAGGATGCCTAGAATTTTTATCAATGAATGCTAGGTTTTCTCTGATTGGAATAGGGGCTGTGATGTCACGGCATGGAGGAAGAGGTGGAAAGTAAACATTGTGATAATATGATTAGGTAGTTTGGCCTGCTCCATGGATGCATCAATGTGACGGCTTAAGCGTATATGTTTTATTAAATCAGACACATGGGGGGAATTTATTAAAACTGAAACAGTATTGGTACAAACATTTTAAAAATTGTTTTGTCATTATTTAAATATTTTTTGTTGTTAAAATAAGTGAAAAGTTTACATCAAATTTGTCTTTTACTATTTACTTTTGTCCTAGTATGAATACCTGTACTCCAGATACTACGATGAAACATGAGTTCCACATAACGGCCTTTCCTAAGCTTGAGTATTTATGGTACATCCTGTTTGTTGGAGTGTTGCTGTTTTTTTTAATGGCAATATGTGGAAATCTTCTAATCATTGTTCTTATATGTCTTGTTCCTCATCTTCACACTCCCATGTACTTTTTTCTGTGCAATCTCGCAGCCCAGGATGTTATCTATGTGTCTGCCATCTTGCCAAAGCTAATGTCAATTATATTAACAGGTGACCACAATATTTCTTTTGTAGGCTGTTTCACACAAATGTGTATGTTCATTTTATGCATAGGCACAGACATTTTTCTTCTTACATCCATGGCTTATGATCGTTATGTTGCCATATGTATTCCTCTCCAGTATTCTATTATTATGCACTTCAAGAAATGTTGCCTGATGGCTTTGGTTTGCTGGGTTGTTGGTGCCCTAAATGCAGCACTGTATGCCTTGCTGATGTCACAGGTAGCGTTCTGCCATATTAAAGCCATCAATCATTTCTTTTGTGATATAAGGGCCATTCTCAAGTTGTCCACTGGTGATATAACACACATGAAGATAATAATATTTTTTGAAAGCGTGGTCCTTGGTTGTATCCCTTTCGCACTCATATTAATATCCTACTTGCATATTATATTTGCAATACAGAAGATCAAATCAACAACAGGTAGACTGAAGACCTTCTCCGGGTGCGCTTCACATATTATCACTGTGATCCTTTTCTGTGGAGCATCTCTCAGCCAGTACATAAACCCAGACACCGAGTTTAAGGAACAGGACAAGTCGCTGTCTTTGCTCTATGTTGCTGTAGTCCCCATGTTAAACCCCTTGGTTTACAGTTTGAGAAACAAAGATGTTTTGCAAGCCATGAAAAAACTGAGAGACTTTAGATGGCAATGTGCTTCAAATGCATTTTTATATTATATACATTTTTCTATATCCACAAACTAAAGTCAAACTTTTGACATATTATCTACAGAGAACGCATTTCTGTATAATAAATGCTCAATGAAAAATACATTGCTTTGACAAGGTGTTATTAGTTATGTGCCCAAACTAAGGGGTCTATTCACAAAGCTGCCAAAGCTGAAGTGAGCCGAACACCGTTCGGCTATTCACTTCAGGCTGGTACGGCTGATTTCAGCCGTACATCGGCTTGCTTCGTGTGGCTTCGGATCAGCCGAACATGCTCAGCATGTTCGGCTGACCCGAAGTGCAGAAGGAGTTCGACTCAGCCGATCCAACATCTGGATCGGCTGAGCCGAACCTCCGGCAGGCTTCACACTGCTGTTCGGGCTATTCTGAAAGATCCCGAACAGCAGTGAGAGAATAGCCGAATGCCGCCGAGCGGCATTTGGCTCGGCTGTTCTGCTCGGTCCCTCAGAGGCACCGAGCAGAACAGAAAAAGAGTGAAAAAAGTAGAAAAAAGTAAATAGAAAACGATTGTGCAGAGCTAGCAGTGACAGCTAGCTCCGCCCAATAGTTTCCTATTGTCCGGCGGCTCTGCTGCTGTAAAAAAAAAAAGTTACAAAAATTTAAACTCTCCCTGTCCCCCCGGGAGTCTCCTGCTCCCGGCCGCCAAAGAGAGAAAATGTATTGTTGCAGGCACTCTATATGTACATGTACTATATACTACATATAGAGTGCACTGAACAATAGATTTACAATTATCCTCTGCTAATATGAATGGGTTAAATGATCCGTAGTACATGATATGTAGCCCTGTACCCCCTTTTCCACTTACAGAGCTAGGTTATTTTTCTTTTAAATAAATATTAATGTAATTTTATTGGTATCTATCTACCATTAGCTTCCTCATTTCCCACCCTCGGCTTATATTCGGGTCAATACTTTTTCCCAGTTTTTTTGGGTAAAATTAGGTACCTCGGCTTATATTCGGGACGGCTTATACTCGAGTATATACGGTAATTGGAAATTCAAAGCAATTCCCTAAATGAAAGATCTTCTGGGATGATATAACCTTATTTAAGTAACGCTTAAGAAACATGTACTACATTGCTGCCACCAGAAGGAGAGCTGACGTCTGATATAAGTGATTTTATCGGCAGTCTATAAGTCTACATACACTCAGACGCACAAGTGAAGACTTGGTGCAGGATGGGGGTGGCGGGGGTTAAACATCTCCTAAATCTACAAGGTTTGCTACAGCCATGGACAAAATCATTTAATTTAAACCAAGAAAACACATTTCTCTGCAGCTTTACAAACAGAAGATTCAAGCTGATCTATATGTCTTCTGCTTCCCAGGTGCAAACATTTACCGATATCCTAAATTGAACACAATGTAAAACCTTACCACATGGCTTATGAACACACTGCTGGTAATATTACAACAGATGCTTTGCACTGCTGTAGTAACATGTTTGCAGCACTAACAAGAAACAAAGGGAAGCATTTACAATAAAACTAGCTGAAAGAATAAACTTGCTGTACATAGTATTTGAGGTTGAATAAAGACATTAGTCCATCAAGTCCAACCTATTAGGATCTCATTCTAGGAGTACCTGTACCCCTGTATATTACGGTCCCTTAAGAAATCGTCCAAAAGTTTCTTGAACAATTCCACATTATTTGCTGAAATCACCGCCTGTGGCAGTGAGTTCCAGACCCTAACTGCTCTAACTGTGAAGAACCCCCTTCGCCCCTTGTGCTGGAATTTTTTTTCCACCAATTTTAGGTGGTAGACCAAGTAGTATCCCCTCCGCCTTGACGTTAATATACTAAAGGAGTAGATGCTGTTAACTTTGCAAAGTGAATGCTTACATAGCTTAGTGAATAAGGTGCATTTGTCTTCAGCGCAATCATGTGCAAGAACAAATCTTTATTTTTATTTTTATTTTTTTGTTATTCTTAACCCGTTAATAACAAACGGTAAAATAAATCCCAATGCCTGCACCCAGTTTTACTTTGGCATGTCTTAGTAAAACTTTACATATCTTTATAATTAATTCATTTATCAAGGTTTATTTTTTAATCTTTTTTTTATTATTTTGTTTTAAGTATACAAACAATGTGCCATATAAATAAACATGATAAAACAAACGGAGAATTAATAGGAAGAGAAACAAGGGTCCATAGCCATCACATTGGAATTAAACAATGAGAAAGTGACAACGTCAAGTATTCGGGAGATCACAGGTATACAATGTCAAAAGGAAAAATACAGATCAGAGTGCAAATACAAGTAACACAGAATAGAATACGGAGATACATAAGAGGTGCAATAACAGTATTGTAGCATAGAAGAGGTATAGAGATATTTATCAAAACCAACTAACCAATGTGTGCAAAAATCTTGCTAATGGGACTCGGTGTATTACACATTATTTTATTCCGGACAAATAGGTATTTCCTTGGACAGTAAATGGTAATAGATATCTCCTAAATCACTGCCCCTACACAAGGCAAACCCCGGAGCACACATGTTTTAGCATGCAGGCTGCTGTGAGCAAGCCCCCAGTAAATAAACCCAATTACCTAACTACAGGCACACAGACTTTAGAGAAATGACTTTGGCATACACATACACTTTTCCAATGGCATTGAACACTCTCTAACATGTTAGTTTTAAATAGGTTCATTTCCACTCTCGTGGAGGTAATAACAGGGACAACATTATTTTAAGACTCTTAAGTGTTCTTTGAATTTGAGTTTTTTTTGTGCAATTCATTGTTACTTGTATAATTTTATTCACTGTCCATTTTCCCATTCTGTGGAGAAAATACATAAAACAATAGAGCTAATAAGAGACCATATTTAAAGAAGAACTCTGGGGAAAATGTATCTTAACCCTTGCAGTGAAGGTTTTTTGTGGTTTTTTAACAGTGCAGTGTGCTTTAAATGGCTCACGGGGCTTACAGGAGCCATTTTCAAGCCCTAAACATTTTTTTTTAAGAGGAACTCCAGGAAATGTTTTCTTAACCCTTGCAGTGGAGCTACCCTGCACTGCAAGGGCTAAGTGCTTATTATGGTCTTTGTTTGTTTTGTTTTTTTGATTGGCATATTGACTTTCCAAAAGGTAAGCGTTGTGGTGCAAGTTTTAAATTTGATGCGTTTCACCTAAGCTTCCTCAGGAGGGAGGAGTTCTGTTATGCTAAATGCATAAATAGACATGCAGGTAAGTATAATATTCAACCTTATATTTACCATGATGACGAAAAACTAAGGGGTCTATTCACTAAGCTGGCGAAGGATCTAGCCCTATCTATTCCCTATAGCCCGTACAGCTCCCAAAGTTTGCCTCGAAGTCGTATGCCTCGGCTCGACTGAGCTGCGCTGAAAGCCGAAGCTGGCCGAATGGCCGGTCATTGGCCGGCCAACAGCCTGCTTCTGACAGCTGTGCGAGCCAACTCACATAGCTACACAATCACATTTAACTATACAGTAATTCTAACCATCTGTAAATCAGTATTTGCATTGTACATATGATACTGTATAATTAATGGTTGGTTTAAAGGAGGTTATGTTAGGAACTTATGCAGAGACTAGTGATCTCTAGACTAGTACAGTAAGTCCCCTACATACGAACAGGTTCTGTTCCGAGAGCACGTTCGTAAGTCAAATTTGTTCGTAAGTCCAACAAAGTGAGCCGAGGTGCCCAGCTACATCACTGCTGCTTTTAGTCTTGCTTCCGGACATCCTGGGCTTGAAATAAAGATAGTGTACTCTATACAGCACTGTACAGTAAAGTACACAAAAGCACAGCCACTTGTAGAAGATGCATGCACGTGACAATGTACACAAGACACATGAAATAACCTACGTAATTGGACATGGGAATGCACGTTCGCATCTTTGAAAGTTGAAGGTTCGTATGTAGGAGACTTACTGTAATCATGTTTAATAAATTGTGTTTTGTGTGATGAAATAAAGTGTACATGGTTTTTATCATTTTGGTTGATAACTTCTGTTCTGGTACCGTGAGAGCTCCATTTGCTTCTTTGTAAGTTGTTTCATTGTAAATGTCATTCATATTGTTACAAACTTTTTAAAAATTGATTTCCTTTTTGGTTGTACAAATGACTGAAAACATGACATCAAATTTGTCTTTTACTATTTACTTTTGTCCTAGTATGAATACCTGTACTCCAGATACTACGATGAAACCTGAGTTCTACATCATGGCCTTTCCTGAGCTTGAGTATTTATGGTACATCCTGTTTGTTGGAGTGTTGCTGTTTTTTTTAATGGCAATATGTGGAAATCTTCTAATCATTGTTCTTATATGTCTTGTTCCTCATCTTCACACTCCCATGTACTTTTTTCTGTGCAATCTCGCAGCCCAGGATGTTATCTATGTGTCTGCCATCTTGCCAAAGCTAATGTGCATTTTTTTAACAGGTGACCACAATATTTCTTTCACAGGCTGTTTCACACAAATGTTTATGTTCAGTTTCTGCGTAGCTACAGAGTTTTGTCTTCTTACATCCATGGCTTATGATCGTTATGTTGCCATATGTATTCCTCTCCAGTATTCTATTATTATGCACTTCAAGAAATGTTCCCTGATGGCTTTAGCTTGCTGGGTTGTTCATGGCCTAAATGCAGCACTGTACACCTTGCTGATGTCACAGTTAGCGTTCTGCCATATTAAAGCCATCAATCATTTCTTTTGTGATGCAAGGGCTATTCTCAAGTTGTCCATAGGAAATATAACACACATAAAGATAATAATATTTATTGAAAGTCTGGTCCTTGGTTTTATCCCATTCGCACTCATATTAATATCCTACTCGCATATTATATTTGCAATACAGAAGATCAAATCAACAACAGGTAGACTGAAGACCTTCTCCGGGTGCTCTTCACATATTATCACTGTGATCCTTTTCTTTGGGGCATCTCTTAGCCAGTACATAAACCCAGAGCCCGAGTTTAAGGAACAGGACAAGATGTTGTCTTTGCTCTATGTTGCTGTAGTCCCCATGTTA